GAATAGCGGCACATCTGCATATGATCCTCAATCCACTCCCACGATATTGAAGGCTTAGGATCATTGAATGGATGTCTTTCCTGATCGACATATTCCACCATTACAGGTTTCCCATGTATGTCATCCCATTTTCATATATCATGTAGTTTTTTTTCCGAATATTCGAAATTCCGTCGTGCTAACACTTCATCTACTACTTTCCCTTAACTATTTAGATGTGATCTGAATTCCCCCACAGGTAGAGTGATACTAGCAAGTATTGCGAACAAAGAAGCCATACTGCGTTCGACCGGATTATATGCACTTTGACCTAGAGTATGAGTACGAATCGTCAAGTAGTCCAGATCAAGAGCACGGAAAAGGTGAGCATATTGAATAATATTTTTCATTTGCTTCGGGTTTTCATCAGGTCCACCATCAACAAGAAGAATCCAAATAGGTCTAACTTTTCCTTCTTTCTTTAGGATAGTGAAAAACTCTTCATTCGAAATGATACTTTCTAAATCTACTATATGGGTTGTTGATAAAGTTCCAATGAAATATTCTGGCCTAATGAATATGGAAAGCCAACCAGTACGAAGGGTATTACTCGAATCAGCCGGATTAATGCCTAAATAAACAGAAGGTATGAGTTTCATTTTTGAACCAGTTGGGAAATTGTGATCTTCAACAGTTACTGGTTCATTAACTGACTGAATTGTTTTGAACGTACGACCAACTGCAGGAATGCCCAATCTGACCTTTGTCTTGTCATCCTGAGAGATGATAATCGCCTCCTCAGCAAAAACTTCAGCAAATACTCTTGCGGCTTTGACAGAAGCTAGACAATAATGTTTATCGATATGAGGTTTCATTTCTGTCTGTGATACGAAGGCGAGACTAACCTTTGTTGGATAATGATGATGACGTGCAGTAAAGGTGCGTTAGTTTCAGGATTGAAGATAAGTTGATAAGCATTGACGAGATAGATAAGTATTATATTTTTCTTCTAGAGTTTTGCGTAAATGCTTCACGGTCTTAACTTTAATGATTACTTTTCTTCGTTAGCATGAGCAGCTCCAAACTCAACGCTGTCATGGATTTTATCCTATAGATCTGGATCTTTCATAGCCACAGATGGTCTTCCTGGAGTATCATATTTTTCTACAATACCCTCTTCTAGCAAT